TAGTGAGCTACGGTTGTCACACGATTATGTCTCGTCAACTTAATTAAATTAATTTTAATGGTTTTTTTAAGAATTTAGTTATTAGTTATATATCAAAAGTTTTGTTATTGTGTGTAGTTTATTGTGATATAATTAGTTTTTTATATTATTTAGTGATAATTATGTTATTTCAAGTTTAAATTTTTACAATTAGTCAACGGTTTTCACTGACAAAAGGAAGCGTGGGTAATGAAAAATCTTAGAAGATGCCTTTGTACATATGATTATTATGGGTAAGTCTCTTCTTTAATTTTACAACTTAAATTTGGCTTGCTAAAACGTTTGGCTGACAAAAAAAAGATGGTGGATATGCCCAAAGAACAAAAAGATTAAAAATTCTACATTTGTTTGATTAATTATGAGGGGTTTGACTAAATATCTTTTTCATCTCATTATAAAAAACAAAAATTGGAGTAATTTAATAACAATATTCATTAGTTACTGATTTGACATATTGACTCATTGTACAATTTCTATATTGTAACCTGTAAGGGTTAATTTACTGATCGTTGGTTGTTTGTTGGTTGTTTTAGGCCTTTTTTGAATTAGTTTGTATCATTACAACATAGTTTAGCATAGATATAGTGTAATACTCCCTGTAAATGTGTATCAAAATCAAAAGGAATTGGGTAGCCCTTATGTTAGTTGATTTTAGTGTAAGGAATTATGAGAAGGCATAATGGACTCCATTATATGATTGTACATCTTTTGAGCTGAATATAAAAAGTTGTGGTAAATGTCTACTGTTACACTAAGTAAAAATGAAGGTAGTTTAATAAAAATACTTTTAATTAGTTAATTTGTTGCATCAGGTGGATGTGAAATCTCTGTACTTGTGTTTTTAAGTGTGATTGTGTGAGTGTGATTGAAATCACTTGATTGTACATTACTTGAACCCTTTTATTAGGTTAGTTTGTTTCATTATAACATATTTTGTCATGTGTTTAGTGTAAAACTCTCTTTTAATTTCAATTATGATTGGAAAAAATCAACTGCCTTCAGATTACATAAGTTTACAGGTACAAAATTGTAATTTGTAAACTGTGTTGTGGTTTGTACAATGTGAAGTGATTTGTACACTGTAATTGTATAGATATATACTGTGCATACATTAGGGATGAAATGCATGAGGGTAAATTATGAAAAGGGGAAATAGTAAGAAAATTAAGTATTGAAATAGTTTTAAGGGAAAAGTATATTCTTTTACTAGGTATATTGAAAACATTCCCCCTTAATGATAATGATAATGATGACTGATTCATAATTGTAATAGAGGAAAATGGGAACAAGAAAAAGACAGAACCAAAACAAATCTTGTTCTATTGTTGACCTGAGTCAGTACAATAAGGTTGTGAATCTCACTTCTCCTGTTCCTGGTTGTTACTCCACAGATGTCAGTCACTGACTGGAGCTCAGAACAGGAAATAACTTGTTTCCATTGAATAAGATGGTTTCAGTGAGACTAACAAGAATTGTTGTGATGCTGTTTAGGCTATAAAAGACAGGATGCAGCATCATTGATATTCCAGTGTTTCTTCCTTAGGGAAAGGCAGGTAGAAACCTGTAATAAATGTTGAAAAAGCACTGACAAACATAAAACAAATAATAAAAATAATAATAAAAATAATAATAATAATAATAATAATAATAATAATAATAAAGGAATTCTTTGAAAAAATAAAAAGGATTTAAATAATTTCTTTTTAAATAAAAAAAAAAAAAAAATTTTATTTCAAAATAATAATAAAAAAATGACAACACGAGTGTAGTAATAAAAAAAAATATTGATAATAATAAAAGTTAAAATAAATTACGTAATAAAATTAAATTATTAAAAATAATAATAATATTTTAACAAATAATAAAAATTTCAAAATTAGACAAATAAAAAAAATAAAAAATAAAATAAAATAAAAAATATATAAAATGAAATCTGCATTCTTTCATCGGGTTTTCTTTCTCCAATTATTATAAATTTACAAAAAAACGTTCGGCGTTCGGATTTAAACGTTCGCCCAACGCTAAAAATAATAATTATAATAATAATAAAATTGATCATCATTGAAAGCAGAAGAAAAAAAATTAAAGCTTTCTAGAGATGAAGAGAGAGAGAGAGAGGGTGAGAAAAAATTTTGTCGCGATCGCGCCGTCGTTTTTTTTTCCAAATAAAAAAACAAACAACAAACGAACAAACAAAATTAAAAAAAAATAATCGATAATAATAATAATAATTATTATTATTATTTCATATTAATTTCTCTCTCTCTAACAATTTAAAAAAAAAAATGGTAACTTTATTAAAAAAAAAACAAATAATAATACCGGAAATGTTTTTTAAAAAAAGAGAGAAAAACCCACAAACGGAATGCAGACAACAAACAGTCAATTTACAATAAAAACACAAACAAACAAACAAACAAACAAATAAACACAAATTTCACAAATTATATGACTAGAATCAATTCGTGATAATATCGATCGTTAATTAATAGTTAGTTACGAGTGTGTGTGTGTGTGTACAAAACAAACAAACAAAATTTTTTTTTTTCTGTGCTTCGTCGCGTTTGTTATTAAAAAAAATTTTGTTTTTTTTTCATTGAAATGCGAAACCCTCCCCTTCCTATCCGCGGTCATTCCAAAATCGTTCCAGTAACGTTCCAGACATTATATACAACGTATAAAAAAAATTTCTCTCTCTCTCTCTTTCTCTCACCGGAAACAAACGTCTTACAACAACCTGACGTTAAAAAAACGAATAATCGCGCACCTTGTAAAAAAAAAAAAAATTCATTGTGAAAATATCGTGGCTGAAGAATACAAAAAATCTGGAATGAAAGAGAAAAACAATCCGAAAATGGAAAAATATAAAAATTTTTTTTTTTTCTTAAATTAAGACAATCGGAAAAGTTTAAAGAAAAAAAAAAAAAATTGGATTTGTATTCGTTATTCGACTGTGCGTGTGGGTGTCGGGGAGGGGGAGGAGCGAGGGGGGGGTGTACGTGATAAAAAAAACCGAAAAAACCAAAATTTATTATTTTCCTTTTCCTTTCCCCCTCTTTTTTTTGTATTCCCGCTTCCAGAACCGCAAAAAAATAAAATAAAATTTGACTGGGAAATTCGATTAATCGAAAACATTCGATTTATCGAAACGCGTTCACGTAAAACTTAATAAAATATATTATTTCTCAAAAAAAAAAAACAAAAAAAACATACACATGTATATATTGCAGACGTGATTTTTCAATTTTCATTTTCATTAAAAAATTTTCGCGTAGGAAATTTATGTGTTCCCCCTTTCCCTCCACTTCTTCTCCTTCTCCCCATCCCCCTTCCCGACAAACAAAATGAAAACTATTTTTCCAGCCAACAAACAAAAAAAAAATCCTTTGTTTTTGTAACGGAATATCAAATTAAAAAATGGAAACATTTGTGGTTATAGACTCAAATCTAAAATTACGAAAATGACGACGACGACAGTAAAAGTTTGTATGAAATTTTTTTTAAAAACAAACACAAGTGCCGTCACAGCCTAAACAAACAGATTCAAAACAATAAAATGCAAATAAAAACAATCGCCAAAAAAAAGAGAAATCACAAATGAAAAATGGAATGTTTTACTAAAACGAACGAAATGGAAAAAAGGCGGGAAAAATCACAGATTTTAAAATTGCGATCGATATGATCGATATTATCATTATCATTATCATTATCAATTTTTTTTCCTTTTCCGTCGGCGTCGTCGTCGTGACTCGAAAACTTGAAAAAAAAAAAAAACTTGACACTCGGAAACAAAAATTATTATTTTTTCTTTTTAAGTACTAAAAAACCGCCATTTTGATTTTAAAAATAATAATAATAATAATAATGATAAATTTTTATAAAAATCGTTGAAATCGAATGCGTTGCGCCGCCGCGACTTATGTACACACAGCCTTGTTAATTTTTTTTTTTGTTAAAACTAAAATTAATATCGTCTCGCTCTACTTTTTACTGTTAAAAAATAAAAATAAAAAATCGCTGCTGACAATCACAATCAAATTAAAAACAAACAAACAAACGAACGTTTGTTTGTAATGTAAAAAAAAAAATTTATCCCTAATTAATTTATCGATTGACTTCTTTTTTTTTTTTTTTGCTTCCCAACAATTCTATTCTACCTATCAAATGGACATTATAAAGGCCACTTTAAAAAAAAAAAAAACGTCATCGATGACAATTTCGCGTGACTGTGACAGACAAACAAACAAACAAACAAGCAAATAAAAAAAAACATTAAACCGATTAAAACAATAAAAAAGATTCGAATTTCTCTTGATGAAAGTGACAAAAATAAACGCGTTTCGTATCAAATCATTTCTCATCTTTCTAATATTTAAACAAACGAACGTGCGAACGGATTTCGAACGTTTGTCTGTCTACATTACTTGATCCATATAACCAAAAAATAAAAAAAAAAAAAAACGTTCGAGTTAAAAAAAAAAAAAAAAAAAATCACACGCGGAATATTAAAAAATTTTCTTAACTTCTACTTATGTATAAACATTTATAAAAAAGTGACCGTCGGTGTGACGTCAAAAGAGCGCAATTACTACTACTATTATTATTATTATTTATAAATCGAAAGCAACGAATTCAATTTTAAAATTTCGAGAAGAAAAGAAAAATAAAAAAATAAAAACGAATAAACGCATTTTTTTGCGACATGACTTATTCTCATCGACTCGATTCTTTTTTTCCCAGCAGAAAATTCAAATCGAAAACGATACTTAAAATTTAATTTCAACCGTTAAAATCGAACCGTTTAAAACCTTCGATATAATCCAATCAAATCGTCAAAAATGTTTAAAAAAAAAAAGAAAAATGTCCGCCGCCTCGAGTTATCTTGTGTAGAAAAAAAAAAAAAGGGAAAAACAATGAATTCAGGCGAAATGCACTTTCTTCCATACTTTTCAAAATGTCTGTCAAACCTCAATGTCGGATCTATGCGATGATCTCGAAGGCCGCGATCGAAAATTTTTAGGCAACGTTTTCGATAAGACTTCTCGAAAACAGCATTCGTTCGGCTGGAATAGAAACAACAAAACAAACGTGTTAATTTTCTCGTGACGTCATAGACAACGAACGACAAACCCATTCATCTTACTCACCTTACTCGGATTGTATGCGCAAAGCTGTGGTAACACTTGAAGGAGAGAATGAAATTTTAAATTGGTAAAAGAAGGAGAGCAACACCTTCCCAAAAACGAATGACAGCATTTGGAGGATTTCATGTGAAGGAATAATATTTCTTCCACATCCGTTTCCGATGCGGATCTCAAAAAAGATCGAAATCTCGAATCCGGAACTTGATTCGCGCTCGCCGCGTTCGAGTAATAAAGTTCTGTTTCGCGATTGTACGTTTGTAGGTAATCGTTTAACTGTTTCGCAATGACCGCAACCCTATCCTTTCCCACCAATTTGTTAGACGGAACCTGAAACGAAACGAAGAGGAGAGACGAAGAGTTTAGCAATGGTGACTTTTGACCTTCGACCGTGCATGCAAAACAATTAAACTGACCTTGACGAAAAAAGGAGAACGAAGATTTCCGGCTGCTCTCATTAAAAATTTCAAACAAAGTTCGGCGGGAGTGTTGGGACCCTCGAGCGGAGGTCCGAGCTTCGATAAAACCTGTTGAAGATATTGGGAAAAAGCTCTTCGTGCTTGATTCGTAGACAACTGACAACCTTTTTCCATGCATTTCTTAAGTTCCATCTTGCATTCTTTGGCATACTTGTGATCTAAAATATCTAATTAAAAAACAAGAAACATAAGTTTAAGAAACCGTTCAATGACCGTCGGACATACTGTAAACAAACGAAAAACTCACTTTCTTTATCGTTCGATGATGCAAATATGGACGCCGCGGTTAAAGGCCTTCTCGAACATTGCGTAAGAGCTCTTTCGTATTTTGGCAAACGATCCACCGGACATTTGTCCAAATCGGGAAATAATTTTTGATGTAAAATTAAATTGTAATTATGTGTGTTGAATTGTTTTTGAGCGACGTAATTTCCTAAATTTAATAAACCGGATGCGGGATCTGTAAAGGGAAATTCAAAAAATTGTTGATGACACGACTTTTCCTCCGACAAAAAAAACAGATTCACGCGCACCTTTAACAAATTACTTTTTTTTAAAAGAATTTATAATGATGCTAATGATAATAGTAAGTGACGTTTGCGTTTCGTGATGACGTGATAATAAAGGAAAATTAAAAGATTTCATACGAAAATTTAAATAATTTTATCAAACCCCTCCCTCCCTCTCCCCGCCCCCCTTTTGCCCCCACCGTAATAACCAACAACTTCCACCTCGTTAAATATAATTAACTAAAAGATTTTTATCCGGGGGTTTTTGTGTAATTAAACGAAAGTGTAATTCGTGACGTGTTTGTTTTAAAAGTTAACCGTTATTTTTTAAATCTTAATTTTCTTTTTGAAGAAAAAAAAAAAAAAAAAAAAAAAAAAAAAAGAAAAACGATAATAACGAGATTTCGCTTTTGACGCAACAACAACAACAACAACAACAACAAACTCCACAAAGAAAAAAAAACATAATTAAAAAATAATTTAGCGAGATCTAAGAAGAAAAAAAAAATTTTTTTTTTGTTCAACGACTTCCGCATTCCGTTTGTTTTCCTTTGTCTTGTCTTTGTTTTTATTTTTTTAAATAATTAATTAATTAATTAACGGATTAATTACCCAACAATCCCGAGTAAAGTTTCCAACTTTCCGCCGATGGAAATATTCTAAGAAAACCTCCTCTTCGATTGTGTTCCGATTGTAGAGCGTTTATCATTCTCAAATCGTCCACGGATAAATTCAACGGGATTTTAAAATTTTTATTATTTTTATTATCCGCCGTATCTACTCTTCGTACCTGAAACGTCAAAATGAAAAAAAAAAAAAAAAAAAAAAAAACGAGCGGTGAGCGGTGAAAGAATCTCTCTTGAAAAAAAGAAAATACAAGGTTTCAAATCATAACTCACGGTTTTCGCATTCACGTTATTGTTATTACTATTATTATTATTATTAATATTATTATTATTATTACTACTACTACTACTACTGACGACGACGACGGGATGCTGGACCATCGGATCGACGACGGGTAAACCGATGAGAGTCAGCAAATCCGTGAGCATGGCGGATTTTATGCGTACGTCCAAGGGAGAATCGCAACCCAGGGATGGAGATAAATTAACTTCCAACAACCAGGGTTTCAACGTGGAATCGATTAATATATCGAAACCGTAGAGCTCTGAAATTTTTTTTTCGACATCAGCGAATTTTATTAAAATGTCGACGAAAGATACAAACAAAAACGCACACTCACCGAAACAATTTCGAGGATGAGGCACGAATCTGGCTGCTGCCACTATGGTCGGAGTCACGGAAAGTATTGCTTTTATTATCACATCTTCGATTTTTTGCATGAGCAACGAAATATCCTTTCCTTCCGATTTCAAATGCCTTAGAAGAGCGCTCAAAGTCCATTTGTGACCCACGTCTTCCGCTTCCGGATCTTCGCTCCTGTTGCAAAAGTAAACAAAAATTTTTTTTTTTTTTTTTTTGATATTCGAACGCTCGACACGCACACACACACGCACGCAAGCCACGTTCGCTAGTACGAGATTCTTACTTTATGTAGTCTTCGTGATATTTGTTAATACTGTAATTACACAAGTGCATGCAGGGATTCCATAAATGTTGTCCGCTCGATTCGTATTTCACGGTTGCCAACCTCACCAAACCCTCTTCGTATAAATAAATAACGAGGGGATTGTATGAAGTGACGGCGACGTACAATCTGAGATCGCATTTGTAACCATCGACCAATAATGGATCGTCAATGTATTTCGCTACGACTAAAGTTTCGTCAGCAGGAATTTGATCGGGCTACAAAAAAAAAAAAAAAAAAAAAAAAAAACGATAATTATTGACGACCCGACGGTTGGACGGCTTTTGCCACGACAAAAAAGAAAAATACGTCAGATAAATAATGTAATAATCTCAAAAAGAGCGACAAATAATAATTTTTTTAATAGATTGTTCGATTGACACATGTCAATTATTATTATTATTATTTTTTGTTTCACGTGTCGTGTAAGAAGACATTTTAAAAAATTTAAACGTTTCGATTTTTCGTCAGAATAAAATTACACCGTTTTTAAATTTTTTTTTTGTTTTTTTATAACCGTTCGGAAATTAAATAATGACACTCGACCGTCGTGCCGAAACAACAAACAAACAAGCAAACAAACAATAAAAATATGTATAAAAACTTACACTATTGACTATGTAAATTCCCCGCCCGCGGGAAGAAGCTACCGGTTTAACGATCCACGGCCCACGAATCCTGTGATGGAACAAACACAGTTCTTTGTAATCTCCAGGCAAAACAAACGTTTGCGGTATGAAATCAAAATATTTAAAACCCTGGAAACAAAAAAAAGGATTTAAAATATTTATCAACTTTTTTTTTTTTTTTCAATGTTGCGACCCTGGAGTATGCGATGCGAAACCATAAATTAAAAAAAAAAAAAATTTCAACCTAGAGTTCGTTAGATCAACTTGTGAATGGATAGATACCCTATTATTATTACAACGGGTGATCAAGAGCAAGAGAGAAAGTTTTTTTTTTTTTTGTAATTTCTCGTTTGTCCGGTTGTTGTTGTTGTTGATGTTTCTTGTTTGTAAATATTTAGTAACAACCGAACTCACTCGACCGCGTGATTTAATTTTTAAAAAAAACCTCAATTATTTTGCGGTTGGCCAATAATTTTCCAATTTTTTTTTTTTTTCGGACTGTCGATTTCATTTATCGTAACACTTTTCCTTTCTTTTCCCCTCCCCCTCTTCCTCTTCTCACCCTTTCCCCTAACCTTGAACAATTTCGAAACTTTTGTTAATAATAATGATAATGATAAACACAAACCTGCAATCTTTGAACTCTTTCAATGTTTTTGTACAGGCGATCTTTTCTAGTGAGTTCATAAGATCTTGGAAAATGGTTGACTTTTTGATGAGATCTCAAACTTTGTAGTTGATGAGCTTTCATGTGAACTCCCGTCCATAACAGATTAAAATCCGGTGATCCGTAATCTACCTTTTTGTTAATGACACGAAAAAATAAGTAAAAAATAAATTAATAAAAAAAAAATTTCTACGTCGTGTGGGATTTTTTTTTTTTTTCAAATTGTGTGTGTGGCGACCTCAAGCCGGGAATTGAATTAATTTGTTTGGAAAACCCCCCCGCCCCATTTTGTGACTCACTTTTTCGTTTGTTTTTTCCACTTTAACTTTTTGACTATCGACGACTCCATACAAACACACGCTCAAAAAAAAGAAAAATCGTTAAATGTCAATGTCCACTTTTTTTTTTTTTTGAAAGGGCGAACGAACTAACGAACGAACGAACGAATACATTTTTAATTTTTTTTTTTTTTTTGCAAAATAAGGAATGAGTAATCAATCGGAAAAAGGAAATTTAAAAATTCGCACACAATTTCATAATAATAATAATAATAATAATAATATCGAATAAAACGTGCAAAATCTTTTTGCAACATATTTTCCCTTTCTATATTTTTCCACTTCATGCGTGACGTCTCGTCGTATACGCATCATCGTATGCGGTAACATGCAATCACGTTCCCTTTCTTATGCCGTAACGACTTTCATCATCCCTTACATTTAAAAAATTTTTTTATGATTTCGGTGAAGGGGTGGTGGTGGCGGTAACACGTCACGACACGGATTGTACCACGTGAATACGATTCAAGTTCATATATATTTTATTGGGGGGAATAGAAAGAGAGAGAGAGAGAGGAAGGGAAAGGGGAAAATCAAAAAAAGAAATAAATCAAAACGTAAAATAAACATCTCGAAACCTTTTTGTTTTTTTTTTTCTTTTAAAAACAAATCGAAATATTTAGAAAATAATAATAATAATAATAATAATAATAATGATAATGATAAAAAGAGATCGGAATGTTTAAAAACATTCTGACACGAAAACGAGGATTTTTACATCATTCCTAATGATTTATTATTAAAGTTTGACGACCTCACAAAATAACACAAATAAAAAGACGAAACCTGGCTACGATTCGTAGCGAGAACGGTGGCATGATGAGAAAAAGGTAGAGGAAAATGGGGAACCGACGGGATGGGGGAGAAGGGGGAAGAGGAGGGGGCAAGGGAAAAAAACTAACTTTTCTTATTACAAATACACACACACACACACACACACTCTTTCCCAAATATTTATTTTCGTTTTTCCAACTTATTGAAAAATTATTCAAGTTATCACAAACCGATATTTTATTATTATTATTATTTTTTTTTACACGTTCGCGTGACGCGTTCGCAAATCACAATCGAACGGGTTGAATTGAACATTTTAAAAAAAAAAAAAAGAAAAAAAAAATTAAATAAATTAGCATTCGATGAATCGAAACTTTTTTTTTTCGATGTGTTGGGCGTTCGTTCGTTCGATGATTAGAGAGAAAGATTTGCTATCAGATTTTTACGTTTTTTTTTTTTTTTTAAATTTATTCATTCGAGGGGCGTGACCCCAACGCACGCACACGCACACGCATGTACATATACGATTAATTGGCAAAAAAAAAAAAAAAAAAAATTTTTAACGTTTTCAAAATTGATCCAAATACATTTGAATTTTAATTCAAATGGCGTCGAAATTCGACGTTCAATTTTTTTCCGTCGATATTAATATACGCAGAAACAACACACGCACACACACTCACACACACACACACACAAAACAGTTAATAATAATAATGATAAACACGCAAATAAAATATATATAAATAAAAATGAATTTGATTAATTCGATAGGCAAGTTTTTAAAACTTGTTGACACCCAAACGAAAATAAAAATAAAAATAATAATAATAATGATAATAATGATGATAATAAAATCAAAAAACTATTGGAGTGGAAAATTAAATGCGTGCGAATAAATTACTGCCCAAAAAAATTTAATAATAATAATAATAATAAAAGCTCGTAAAAAAAATTTTTACGACGCGTTTTCTAACTTTCTTTCTTTCTCTCGTATTAAATATATGAGATAGTTAATCGCATAAAACGAAATAAATAAATAAATAAAAATTTGTGTGGTACATAATAATAATAATAATAATAATAATAAAACATGTCGACCTTATATTATTTAAGGTTTAATGATATTCGGAAAAAAGAAAAAAAAAAAAAAAAAGTTATTAAATTAATGACTGGTCGACGACATGTTGTTGTTGTTGATGATGAAGTCAAAGTAAGAGAGTTAGTTAAATTAAAGGTGACCGACACTAATTTACCGGTTAATTAACTTCCATCCACTTATTATTATTATTATTATGTACATGTATATATAGGAGCGATTTACGTAATATTTTATTAAAAATTTAAATTTTTTTTTTTTTTTTCTCCCGAATACGAGTCATTAAGAAGAAAGAGGGTGGTTGGTGGTGGTGGTGAGTGCATGATAAGACAATTTCTTACCTCTCTCATTCCGTGGTTTTGTAACAAAGCCGACAACAATTTAGTTTCTGCCTGCAGAAATTTATAAGTCATGTGAACACTTGCAGCAGGAGGTTTTAATGGCGGATTAACGAGTGCTGCACAGTGAAACCACAAATATGTGTTTTTCCCACTTCCAACGGTCCATTCCAATTCTTTTAAAGACCTTCACCAAAAAAAAAAAAAAAAATTGTTAAAATTACTTTTAATTTATTATATTTTACCACAACTTATATTTTATTCGATTAAGTTAGGGAGGTAATTCAGAAAAATAAAATAAATAAAGGGAATAATAAACTCTTGAGAAATTTTCAAATCTCATTTAATAATAATAATAATAATAATAATAACTCAAACAAGACAAAAAAAAATTTTGATTTTAAATCCAAGTTTAAATCCAACATTTCAAAACGACAAGAATGAAATCCTTTATATTTTTTTTTTTGCTTAATTAAAAAACAATTTGTTAATAATGAAGTTCAAAAATAAATAAATTAATGAGTCAATGACATAAAACAAAAAAAAAAAAAAAAAAAAAAAAATAATAATAATAACAAAGCGATCCAAATGTGTAGTGAAACAAGACAAAAATAAAAAAAAAAAAAAAGTGTCAAGGAAATTATTATCCATTTACATTTAGATTGACCTTTATTTTTATGTTAAAAACCAACATTCCAAAAACAGTAAATAAATTAAAAAAAAAAAAAGGACTAGTTTGTAGTCGATGAAAAATATTATTATTATTATTGTTGTTATTATTACATTTTGTTAATGAAAAATTTTATTTATTATTATTGTTGGGTCGATGGATGAATGAATGAAGAAATAATTTAAAGAACATGCGATAAAAAAATTTAAAAAATTAATCACTAATAAAAAGTTAAATTAGTTTTCATTTTTTCCCCCATTCCATTAATTAATTGCTGTTATTATTATTATTATTATTATTATTATTATTATGTTATCTTTTGGCAAAATTAGAAAAAATATTAATTTGAAATTTACAAAAAAAAAGAAATTACAATAAGATAAATAATTACGATTAAATGTTCTCCTCCTTCTTCTTCGTGTAATTAAAATATTTCTTTTTTTATTTTAATCAGATTAATTTTTACTACAGTTAATTTTATTTGAGTTTTTCAAACATAATGCAGCAAATTTTATATTTTTTTTTTTTGTTAAATAAGAGTTAATTTGGGAATATTTAAAAATAAAAATATTAAAATACTTACGTTTCTGTATTTAAAGTTTTGTGAACTAATCTTAACTCGGATGATGATGCTGATGATGATGGTGGTGGTGGTGATGATGATGATACATTTTTATTTGAATTATGAGGCATTATTAATTGATTGTCCTGACAAAGAGTTTTATCAGAATTGCATTTTAGTGCTTTTGAAAACATTACCTGTAAAGAAAGAAAAAGAGAGAGAGAGAGAGAGAGAGAGAAAAAACGACAAAAAATTTAAATTATTTACAAAATTTTTATAAAAAAAAAAAAAAAATCAATAAAATTTTCTTTTTATGAATGAAAAATTTATAATTTCAAGTCAACAAGTTCGTTAATTTATTTTTTTTTAAATAAATGCAAATAAAATAATGATAATAATGAAAATTTTCAAAGAAAAGGAAAAAAAGAAAAGAAAACCTTTATGAACTCGACTTAACACTCAACCTAACCTTATTATTAAACATAAATTAAACATGTAAAAATTTGATAGAAATCGTTAAAAATGATTACATAAATGGGAAAAATTTTTTTTCTTTCTTTTTTATTCTGGATAAATTATTAAAAAAAAAAAAAAAAAAAACGATAATTTTTCATGAATTAAATTTTTTTTTAATTTTTTTTTTATTTTTGTTTTTAATTTTGAGACATTTATACTAATTATGAAAAATTTTAAAACGAATTTAACGAACGTTAACCTGTCGAAATATTTACTCTAAGTAAAAAAAAAAAAAAATAATAATAATAATAATAATAAATAAATATGTATAAAAAAAAAAAAAAAATTTTGTCTTACCTTTTATTATTACTTCTCGCCATAACAAATGACAACTGAATTTTTTACTCGCTGCCAACATTGAAAAGACCTTGGTTATTTTTTTAACTTACATAAGTTAAATATGGGGTTAATACAGTTGCTCGGTAACGGATTTTGGTAAATTCTAAGGAATATATACATATACGTGTATATATATACAAGTAAATAAAACTTACAAACTCTGCTGGCCTTTTATAATTATCATCATCATCATTATTAAAACGTTTTTTTTTCTTCTACACGATATTGATTTTTTTTTTTTTCGTACATGGATATATACATATGTGTTCAGAGTGTGGATCGTTGATTGTTTAGAAATGAATAAAAATGAATGTGAAATCGGAATACAAAGTTATCGGACGAATAGGAGAGGGGGCTCACGGAATCGTTTTAAAAGCGAAAAATCGAAAAACTGGAAAACTAGTGGCCCTTAAAAGAATGTTAAACAATAAGGGAAATGAAAAAGTACAATTGAGTTTGTTGAGGGAAATTGAATCGTTGAAACATGTCAATTCGACATATGTGAGTTTGTGTGCATTTCAATACATCTTATATAAATTGTATTAATTATATATATATTGATGGATAGAATTTGGATTTGTTGTAGGTTATTAAACTTCTAGAAGTTTTAACAGTCGGTTCATCTGTTGTGCTTGTTTTAGAACTCATGGCAGGAGGTTTAAGTAGTGTGATTGGAGATGTCGATGATCCAATACAAATCCCACAAGTAAAAGCATATAGTAGAATGATACTTGAAGGTTGTTCACATTTGCATAAATTAAAAATCATGCACAGAGTAAGAAAAGTTTTTTTTGTACTATGATATATAGTAAGTATTGTTAGAAAAATTACAAAGTGATTGTTTTGATTAATATAAGTAATCAAATTCGATGAAAATTGTAGGATTTGAAACCGGCTAATCTGTTGATAGGATTCGATGGCATACTCAAAATAGCCGATTTAGGTCAAGCGAGGTTAAACAAGGGTAGGCCATACTCTCATCAAATCGGATCGAGATGGTACAGAGCACCTGAATTATTATATGGTTCGAGAAAATATTCATTATCGATTGATGTTTGGTCCATAGGTTGCATAATTGCAGAAATGATAAATTGTTCTCCTCTGTTTGCGGTGAATATTTACAATTTACCCCCAAAACTTTTGTTTTTTTTTCGTAAATAAGTATTTTACAACTTGATCATTGTGGTTAGGGTGAATCAGATATTGAACAGTTGGCCATTGTCATCAAATCATTGGGTTCTCCATCGGAAGAAACATGGCCAGGAGTTCACACTCTACCAGATTATGGTAAAATAACATTTCCAAAATCGAAAGGAAAATTGTGGAAAACATTAATACCGAATTCTCCACCTGGAGCCATAGATTTGCTTAAATCGTTACTATTATACAATCCGAAAGAAAGATTGAGTTGCGAACAGGTCAATAATAATAATAATTGAGAAAAGCTTTTTAAAAAAAAAAAAAGACAATTACATGACAAACAAATGAAAAAATTATAATTTTCAGGCATTGAATCATTCATTTTTTTATTTGGATCCAATCGGTTTGAAAGACAATCAAATGACACTTCCAAGTGTTTTTACGAGGACGAAAAAAACCGATGACATAACGTACTTATTAGAAGAAGAACGTCCGTTTAATTTATTATTAAAAGAATTGACATCTTTATTTACTTTTTAAATTTTAGCCAAAAAGAAAAAAATTTAAATTTAATGAGATTTTAATCTAGTCGAGATCTTGGTGGTAGAAATAAACAATAAACAAAAAATAAATAAATAAATAAATAAATATTTTTATATTCTTAATTGTGGAAATGTCACGATAATTTTTATTATTTATTATTTATTTTATTATTTTTATTATTATTATTTATTTAAAATTTTTTTTTAAAATGTATCGAATGCATTTAATAGACAATCAATACATGTTTAATAATTTTATCATTATCATTATTATTATTATTATTATTATTATTATTATTATTATTATTATTATTATTATTATTATTATTTTATTAAATTAAAAATTTGTTTTTATTGTATTTGAGAAGAAAAAAAAAAAATTTTGTCGATTTGGAATTTGTCTCTTTATTACAAAAATAATAAAAGTTATGAATTGAGTGATATGTAAATAATAGTAATAATAATAATGATAATAATAATAATAATAGGTAAATGGATTTAGTTTTCGTCGGTGGTAGTTTTGAAGTAAAAATAAAAATAACTTTATGTTAAAGGGTTTAAAATTATATTATTGACAAAAGTTTTTAATGTATGCAAAGTGAAAAACGAGAAGGTTGTAGTTGAAATTCGGCCCCCCTCCCCCCGGGGGATGAAGGGGGAAGGTGGGGAGGGGAGAGAGAGGGTAGGGTAGGGTATATTTTATATACAAAAAAATTTTTGAAATATTTTTATGTAATTTTGTACCGTAGGCAAATAATATTCTAGGAAGGTCGACGAGTTCTTCGTCAAAACATTGGAATAACCTTGAAATGCAAATCGATACATGATCGATATATACAAGACATTTTTTTTTTTTGTTCTAAAGAATAAAAATGGAAGGAAAGGAGAAGAAATCAATAAAAATCCTGATCGATTGCGACGACGATAAGAAATCATATCAAAGAAATCTGACAAAGGATTTTATTATTATTATTATTATTATTTATTCCTTTGATGGAATCTTATAAAAATAAAAAAAAAAATAAAAATTTTCTTTCAGAACATTTTCGCTTTCGGGTATATATAAGAACAAAAATAAATTTCTGTATACGCTTAAATAGATATTTATATCGATAAATAATAATATGAAACGTTGACCTTGAACCTGAACGTGATGACGTCAAAAGAAAAACAAAATGACCTTGAAATGTTAGTGGTTTTTAATTTTTACTCTGTTATTACGTCACATATAAATTCTTCTTTCATCAATCGTCAATCGTAGTTATAGAAAAAGAAGAAGAAGAAGACGCGTTAACGTTCATTGTTCAATTTAAATCACTATAATAATTGACCTAAATAATAATAATAATTATAATACTAATAATAATAATAGTAGTAGTAGTAGAAGCAGTTGGAGTATAAATTTTTGTGTCAGTTTTCATCTTGATTATGTGTTGTTATCAACAAGGTGATATCAATTATTAAATTTTTATTTTATTTATTTAGTTGTAAGTGTGCGTGCGTGCGTGTGCGTGTGCGTGTGCGTTTGTATAACTCAGATAATTTTTAAAATTTTTCTAGTTTTAATTCTGGTTATAATAATAATAATAGTATTTTATTAAATTTTTTTTTTTTTTTTTTAAAACTAAAAAAAAGGTAATTTATTGTATTTGTAAAGAAAAATTTTTTTTTTGGTTTTATTATTATTATTATTTTTTGGAAAAAAAAACGTTCGCGAACGTTTGTTTTCGTTTGTTTGTTTGTTTGTTCGAATTATTTTTACGTTGTTTAAACTTGTTTAAGAAATTTTTTTGTTTTTTTTTTTTTTTTGATTTCGAGGCGTTCTTAATTCTTCTTTCTCCTCCTTCTGTCCTCCCTCCCTTCCTTCCTCCACTCGTACCGTTTTTAATTTTATTATTATTATTATTAAATTAAACGTTTTAATAATAATATTAATAATAAAATTATTTATTAAACGTTATCTAAAATTCCTTTTAAAAAAATGTTGTTGTTGTTGTTGAGTAAACACTTTAAATTGATAAATTATTCATTTGAAATTAAAAAAAAAAAAATCAAGTTTTAAAAGTCACGTAAAAAGTTGAAAAAAATTTGATTATCGTATTCCTCTTTTCACCCTCGACCTTTTGCCCCCTTCCTCCCTTTCTCCCCCTCCTCTAACGTTTTAATTAAGTATATTTTCACGACAGTTTTTTAATTTTTTTTTAAATAGCGATTTTAAACGTTCGGTTTTGACCCTTGTAAAAAATTATTATTATCATCATCATCGTCACGTTATAAAAATTTTTTCGCTGTCGTCTGAGGTAAAATAGTTAGAAAATAATAATATAATGATGATGATGATGATGATGATGCATAACCGATACGGTCGATTTATTTAGAACAAACAAACAAAGGAAAACAAACGAGGGAAATTTTTTTTTTAAAACAAGATTTAAACGTTCGTTCGTGTTTCATCTAAAATCAAATTTCAAGGTTATTTAGTTACATTACAATTATTATTAATTACTAGTAGTAGTAGTGGTTGTGGTGGGAGTAGTGGGGGGGAGTAATAGTAGTTGCGGAACAAGGGTGTTAACGATATTTCATTTTCCAGGTGCGATGATTTCGAAAATGATTTTTTTAATTTTTTTTGGAATTTTTTTCATTTCGAATTCTTGTTTCGGTGCAAACATATTATATCTAGTACCACTGCCTGCTAAGAGTCACTACATACTGGGAGAAAAATTGGTAAAAGAATTGGCGGGGAGAGGACACGAAATAACAATAATATCATCATTTAAAATGTCAAATCCGCCGAAAAACATCAAAGAAATAATAATGCCGGCTTCACTCGAAGATTTCGGATGTACGTGTACATGTGACATACAAACAAGGAAAAAACATTTTTTTTTTTCCCCGTCGTGCTTTAAGTTTTAATTTTATGTTTTTCTTTTGTTTTTTCTGGATAGTGTTTAATAAAGGAAAAGAATCGGGAACGTTTCAATTGAGAAAAATGTCTCCGATCGATTTTATTTTATTCAGCGCAGTTGGTAACATGATGACGAACAAAACATTGTCGGATCCCAACGTTCGGAATTTATTAAAATCGAATAAAAAATTCGATTTGATTATCGGAGAATGTTTTCTGACGGAAGGTTTGTTGGGTGGATTCTCATATAAGTACAAAGCACCCATGATCGGAGTCGCTACATTTATACCAAACACGTGGTCGAACGAAATGGTAAGAAGAAGAAGAAGAAATCACTGTTGATGATGATGATGATGACGGCAAAACATTTTAAATGTTGGGATATTATTAATTTCAGGTAGGAAATCCAGCGTCGTCTGCTTACGTTCCAGAACCTATATTACCATATACAAACGAAATGACGTTCTACGAAAGATGTATGAATTTTTTTTACGGTATGTTATCGCAATACGCTTACTACAACCGACACATACCAGCACAGGATAAGATAATGAAAAGTTTTTTCGGGCAAAACGTACCTGATTTAAGAGAATTGATAAGGAATACGTCGCTGGTATTGGTCAATCATCATCACAGCATGTCTTTTCCAAGGCCGTATCTTCCAAACATGATCGAAATCGGTGGTTATCACGTAAATCCACCAAAACCTCTTCCGAAAGTGAGAATTTCGTACCTTTTAAACATTTCTATTGGATTGAAAATTTTGTTGACACTTCTTCTTCTTCTTCTTCTTCTTGGTAGGATCTTCAAAAATATATGGACGAGTCCAAAGATGGCGTCATTTTATTTTCCATGGGTTCGAATTTAAAAAGTTCAGATTTACCGGAAAGCAGGCTCGTGGAAATATTGACAGCGTTTTCGAAATTAAAACAAAGAGTCATATGGAAATTTGAAAAAGAAGATTTACCAAACATACCTGAAAATGTTTTAATTTCAAAATGGCTTCCGCAAAGTGATATATTAGGCACGTGATAAATTTTCTTTTTTCTCTCGATTACGGCTTTATATTATTATTATTATTATTATTATTATTATTATTATTATTATTATTATTTTTAATAAAAAAAAAAAAAAAAAAATTTCAGCTCATCCGAAGGTGAAATTATTCGTGACACACGGAGGAGGTCTCAGTTTAACGGAAGCCGTTGATAGAGGAGTTCCGGTTGTCGCCATACCGATTTTCGGGGATCAACCACTTAATGTTAAATTTGTTGAAAAATTTAAAATCGGTGTCGGTCTCGAATACGAAGAAATCTCTGGAAAAAAATTACTGGAGTCTATAAACGAAGTATTAAATAATCCGATGTGAGTTTAATTTGTTTTTCGGCCTCTGGATAATTTGTTTGTGGTGGGGAGTTTAAAAAAAAAAAAAATTACACACGTTTCAGGTACGATTCGAACGTTAAACAAAAATCAAAAATCCTTAAGGATAATCCTATGACGCAATTGGAAACGGCAATGTATTGGATCGAATACGTCATAAGACACGATGGGGCTCCACATTTACGTTCGGCAACGCAAAATTTAACGTGGTATCAGATTTACTTGCTCGACGTTTTCGCATTTCTCGCCGTCGTGGTTTTAACATTTTTCTTCATCGTTTACAAATTGTTAAAATGTCTCAAAAATTGTTTGTGTCGTGGAAAAAAGGAAAAAAATGTTTCGAGTTTGAAAAAAAATAAATGAACGCACGCTTTTTTTTTCGCGGCCATTTTTTTGAGCGAATGAAAATCGTCGGGAAAAATCGCACGGAATCGAAATAACAAATTTTTTTTTTTCGTTTGTTTGTTTGTTTGTTAAAGATCGGTTGTTGCTGTCAAACATTTATTAGGTGATAAATAAAATAAATGAAATACAAACGACAAATAAAAAATAATAATAGAAAATTTTTTTTTGTTTAAGATAAAAATGAAAAAAAAAAAAAAAAAAAAAAAAAATTTAATAAGAGAAAGTGTTTGTTTGTTTGTTTGTTCGCTGTCGTTTTAGGAAAAAAAAAAAACAAATTTTTTGACGTCGTTAAAAAATTTTTTAACAACAACAAACGTTTTTAAAAAGTATTTTATTATTATTATTATTTTAACGACGGAAAAAAAGAAAAAAGAAAAGTTTCGCGTGCGTGAGTTATGTGTGCGTACGTGCGCGTGCGGAGGAGGGGGTGTGTGTTTTCTAACCGTTATTTAAAAGATCTCAAAATCAACAGTTGAAAATTTTCCCGTGATGGGGAGGGAAACGGTGGAGGGAGAAAGAAAGAAAGGAACGAAAAATTTTCTAGAAAATTACGTTTTCTGGTGATCGACTAAAAAAAAAAAAATTCATTATTCACAACAACAACAACAAACAACAAAAACTTGACATTTTTCTTTTCAAGTGATTCTAATTTTCTCCAACAGATTTAGTTCATTCAACCAATAATTACTTTCTTTTTTTTTTTTTGTTTTCTACTGCCACGAGGTTAACTATAACAAAATTTCTTTTTTTTTCTGGAAAAAACTTTACGCAGCTAAACCAACCGAAACCATTCGGACCGAAGGAAATAAAAACTTTTTTCCTTTTTTTCCTTTTTTTTCCTTTTTTTCCTTTTAATTATTTTTTTTTTTCTATAAACGAGAAACCTTAAAGAAGAAGAAGAAAATTTTTCAACAACCAAAAAAAAAACCTAAAAAAAAGGAAAGTTTTTAATGAAATTTTTTTTTAGTGATTTTCTCTCATTTTTAGTAGTGATCTTCTCTCTCTCTCTCTCTCTCTCTCTCTCTCTCTCTCTCTCTCTTGAATTGTAGTTTTTTTTTTAAAAAACTTATTTCATCTTCTTTTTGACTCGATGATGACTTTTTTTGACTTTTTATCTTAATGGACAAGTTTTTTCCTACTAAAATTTAAACATGTTTTTACCTTTCTTTTAATTTAGTCACACCGCTAAAGTTCATCTACCACATTTTTACCTACTGCCACGACTTTCGACTTCCTCTACCCACCTCTTCCCCGCCCCACTGCTCACCCCGATTCGTTTTATATTAATTATTCAAGTTGGTAAATCAAAGGATTTCCGGCACTCACTCACTCATTTGACGTGGAAAGAGATTTTTTTTAATTTTTTTATCCATACTATGCGAATCGATATATATCGATTTTTTTTTTAAATCCGTCGATCGTAAAATGAAATTTCCATAGAGTAAAAAAAAAAAAAAAAAAAAAAAAAAAATTTTTTTCTTTTTTATGGTCGTTAGAGAAAAACATTCACGTTTGTTTTTTTTTTTTATTCTCTCTCTCTCTCTCTCATTTTTTTTTATTCTCGTCGATCGTTATTATATAAATTTTTCACGTTGAAAAATATATAAAATTTCACAAGGTAGTAGTCATTATAAAAAAATCCAAGGGGGGGGGGTGGGGTGGGTAGGTGGGATGAGGAGAGGGGGCGGGAAGAAAGGAAAGACGCGGTAAGGAGGACGCCATATTTTTTTTTTTTACTTTTATGTCGACTATATAAAAAAACCGGGTGTTGATTTCGCACGAAACTTAAAAAATCGTTTCTGGACGTTTTCTTTTCATTTTTTATATTTTTTTATCGTCTGCTTCTTTTCGATCCATTTTTTAAAAAAAAATAAAAAAAAAAAAAATTTTTTTCTATTTACACGACTTTGACGAACTTAAATTTTTTCCTTTTTAATTGTTTTTTATCTTTCTTATTTAACGTAGGCATATAAACTTTTCTCGTTTGATTTTTTCCTTTCTTCTCTCTCTCTCTCTCTCTCTCTCTCTCTCTCTCTCGTTCCCTCTCTCTCTTTCCCTTTTTTTTTTTTTTTGATTTTCCCTTTAAGCAATTCTTTGAAGTTTTATTTCCTTTTAAAATGTCTTAATTCAAATTACAAATATTTTATATAGATAGATATAAATTTTTGAACAAATAAAATTGGAGAAAGTATTATTATTATTATTCGTTTAATTAAACTCAAATATAGGAAATGTGAAAAGTAAAGTGTTGAAAAATTGCTTCGAGTAATATTTTAAATCTTTTTCTCTCTAATATATATATATATATATATATATATTATAGAAATACGACAGGAGCAGCAGCAGAAGAAACAGGAGAAGCAACAACAGCAGCAGAAGGGAAAATAGGCGGCGGTGTGATGAAATATAAAAGAATCAGAATCGTAAAATTAAAAAACCCGTCGCTGTTGTTGTTGTTGTCGTGTATCGACAGAATAGAAAACTAAAAAATTTTCTCTCTCTCTCTCTCTAAAAAAAAAATGGCGGTTCGACAAGAAGATAAATAATTAATTCTACTGATAATTTTGATAGGAAAAAAAAAGTTCGACGACCTTTTTTTGAAATAATTTAAAAATTTTGCGACGGTTAAAAAAAAAAACTTTTTTTTTCTCCTTATTTTTTTGTCTTTTGTTTGTTGTTGTTGTCGTTGTCGTCGGTCATTAAGTTGTTTGTTGAGATGAAAAACATAATAATAATAAAGGCGATGATGTCACAGAGGTGTAATTAACGTGATTAGTTTTTGAATTCGTTGAATTATATAATAATAATAATAATAGCAATAATTCGTGTTTAACCTCATCTTGTTGAATGAATTGTAATTAATCAGCGTTATTTTGTTTAATCGGCGATTATTATTATCATTATTATTATTATTATTATTATTATTATTAGTGATAAAAAAAAGGAAAAAAAGTTTTGAAACAAAAAAAAAAATAGTTGGAAAACGAAAAGGGTTTATTATATGAAGATTTAATAATGTCGTTAAAAGTGAAATTTTCCTTTTTTTTTTTTTTTTTTCTTAAATTGAAATAAATTTTTATTCACTTTTTCTTATGTTTTTAGTCTTGCACGCGCACGCACACACACACGCAACATCTCTCTCTCTCTTTCTCTTTTCTTTTACCTTGGAAGGTTTTTTAGTTTTAGTTCTTTTCCCCAACTCTTTTCTCTCTTTTACATGTTTTTCAAATTTAAAATAAACTTTTTTTTTTTTTTTTACGTTTTCGGCAAAATCGTATGCAAAAAAGAAAGAAAAAGAGAGAAAATTTTCAACCGGAAATGTTTGACGTCACTTTTCCCTATTAATAATAATAATGATAATAAGGAATTAAATAGATGCCTAATAATAATAATAATAATTTTTGAAAGAGAAAAAAAGTGTTCGAGTAGAAAAAACAAAAAAAATTAAAATAAATAATTTTTTTTATGAAATCAAAGTGGAATTAGAAACAGGAAATGAACGTTATACGATGTTATAAAATATGTTTTGACCTTACACGACAGTAAAAAAAAAAAAAAAAACCGGGAAAGTCAGACGTAAATAAAATAAAATAAATCAAAAAAAAAAAAAAAACGTGGAAGTAAATAAAGTAAAAAAAAAAAAATTTTTTTTTACGAAACGTAATTTAATTATGCCACGTTTTTTTTTTGAATTTTTACTTCCTGCTTCCACGAATAAGTCAATTACTCGCCACTCCACAACACCATAATAAATAACAATAAAAAATTTCCTATTCAGAACCCGAAAAAAAAAAAAAAAGGCGAAAGAAAGAAAAAAAAAACAAAATGGAATGAGGAGGAAGAGGGAAAAAAAGATAAAAAGGCAAAAAGAACATAAAGTTTTATCAAGAGAAAGTGGAAAGCTGAAAACTTTGACGGGGGGGAAAGAAGAAGGGAAGAGAAGGAGAAGAGGAAGGAGGAGGAGTAAAGAGTGGTGCGAGACCACGTCGGGAAGAGAGGAGAAAAGGGGGAGAGAGAGTGTAAAATGTAGACCACCAGAGTTAAGAGTGAAAGAATAAGAATGGAAAAGTATAGGGGGCAAAAAAGTGAGGAGGGGATTTCTTTTGCCACGTTTTTATTTTCCCTTTACGAAACTCACTTATCATTTGAGTTTGTGTGGTTTATTTTCATTTGTTGTTGTTTTCTTTTTTTTTTCTTTTTCTTTTTTTTTTTTTGTTTGTTTGAATCTTCCGAGACATTTTCCAAGTTAAGATTCTCGTAAATTTTTATATTCGACCTCTCTCCTCTCTTAAGTTTTTTTATGTAACCGGAAACATACGAAGAAAAAAAAAGGTTTAGAAAAACTTTTCAACATTTTCAAACGAGGGGGGGGGAGGGTGAAAACAAAAAAAAATTCGTTACGAAATAAAATTTAAATACTTCATGATGACGTGGTTAAAGAAAACAAAACAAAACAAAACAAAACTCACTCGAACGTATTGTTTGACAGAAACAAAAAAAAAAAAAATTTTTGGTTGACAAAACAACGGATGGAATTTCAAAATGAATGGAAGGTTCTGGATAATAATAATAATAATAATAATAATAATAATAATAATAATAATAATAATTAAATTCCAGATTATTTTATATATTTTCACACTTCATTCAAATTTTTTTTTTTTTTAATTCTCGAATATTTTTTTTTTTTTAATCCGGATTAAAAATTTGGAAAAAAAAAAAAAAATTTACTTCAAAATGGCGTTTATCTCGTAAATTCGAATAACAAACAAACAAACAAAAAAAAACTGACGACGACGACGATGATGATGATGATGATGATGATAAGTAAATAAATAAATAAAAATTCCAGGTTTGGGGGGAAGGGAGAGAATGAAAACGAGTACGAGATTTTTTTTTTTTGTTTGTTCGAATACGACGAAGGAAGGGAGGAAGAGGAGAAGGAGGGAAGAAGAGGG